AGGCCCAGTCTCTTCTGGGTGGGGGGCAGACCCTCCAACAATGATGGGCAGGCCCAGTCTCTTCTGGGTGGGGGGCAGACCCTCCAACAATGATGGTCAGGCCCAGTCTCTTCTGGGTGGGGGGCAGACCCTCCAACAATGATGGGCAGGCCCAGTCTCTTCTGGGTGGGGGGCAGACCCTCCAACAATGATGGGCAGGCCCAGTCTCTTCTGTTTTTTGTTGACGACTGGCCTCGTTATATTAGCCAATAATTTTAAAAACAGGTTTAAAAACTCAGATCCTTACCATCTCTTATCAAACTCGGATCTTACCTTCTCTTATCCAACTTAGATCTTACCTTCTCTTATCCATCTCAGATCTTATCTTCTCTTATCCAACTCAGATCTTACATTCTCTAATCCAACTCAGATCTTACATTCTCTTATCCATCGCAGATCTTACCATCTCTTATCCAACTCAGATCTTACATTCTCTAATCCAACTCAGATCTTACATTCTCTAATCCAACTCAGATCTTACATTCTCTTATCCAACTCAGATCTTACAATCTCTTATCCAACTGAAATCTTGCCTACTCTTACCGAACACAAATCATTAAAAAGTATTTCAGGAATCCAAATAAAAAATGGTTACAATTTAAGAAAAACTGTTTAGATTAGTTTCGGTACATCCATGATCCTGAGCAATGATGATCCAGGAAGGATGGAACCTGATGTAGATCTCAAACTAGATAAGGCAGAGAAAAATTTAAATTTTAGCTTTTCTTAATTTAGAAATTCAGGTTATCAATAATTGTTTACTTTTTGATACCGGAGTTTTTTATTATACTAATCATAGTTTTCTCTGGTCAGGTTTTTCCGGAGGAGTATCAGAGAAAACTTTTCTGGAGAGAACTATACAGTTCTCCGGTGGCGGAAACCTACTCGGAGTTAAGCAGGTTCAGAGTTTCTGAGACCTTGAATAATCCAGAGAGAGGGATCCATGCTGATTTTATAGAGGCCCAAGAGGACCCAGAGCTTGCTCTTTGCTACGGAATATTCGGAAATGAAAACTTCGGTCAGGATGAAAGTAAAAAGGATTCTAAACCTTTCTTTGAATGTGATATATGCTCTAAAAAGTTTTCTAAACAATATAATTTAAAAGAGCATAAGAGGATCCACACCGGAAACAAACTGCTGTGTGACGTGGTAGGATGCAACACAACCTTCAACGATAAATCTTCGTTGAACAAACACATAAAAACTGTTCACAAGGCTCACAAACCATATTCTTGTGAAAATTGTGACAAAGCTTTCTCCCGCTCCAGCCATCTTCAAGATCACAGGGCGGTTCATACCAAAGAAAGGAAGTTTCAATGTTCTTTTTGTCAAAAACGTTTTTCATTTTTGTCAACAATGAAATCCCACGAACTGATACACACCGAAAGACAAGAGTTTAAATGTGATCATTGTCTGAAATCGTTTAAGAGGAAGAAAACATTAAAAGTACATTTGCTTAATGTTCATAAAATCCGGGAATTTATTCCGGGATAAAATTTGCGTCAACACACAGATATTAACGCACTTAATAGAAAACAAAACCATGTGGGAAGGGTGCGTCTTGGAATAGTTTGGTGTCTTTCTCACCATCTGTGATGATGTACTAGTCGTTTGTTTTTTCTCCTCTTTTGCAAAAAATATTTTAATTCTTGTATCTTTCAGAAATAAAAAGTTCTACCTGGACCAGGAGAATTGACCGGCCCGATGTCTAGCGGGCCGAATATGCTCAAGTTTATCTGGGGGAAGGGTCAGGGACCCTCGGCGGAGAGAGTCAAGATTCAGAAACAACTCTTCGGGTTTAGCAGAGAAATCAGCCACGGGTTTCCAACCAAACCCTCCTGCTTAGCCTGGGACCCAGAACTGAAACTCATGGGTGAGTACAACAAAGTTGATAAATATAGGGATAACTAGAGAACTGTAGAATACTAGCAATACGTCAGTATATTTAATGTTTTTACAAAGCAAATATTTTCACCAGAACCGTTAGGTTGAGCTAAATGTGTCTGTTTACTATGCACGATTTCTGTGTTTTGTTCAGTGGACTATTTAAAGTTAAAACTTTAGTCTGAAAGTCGTCTTCCTATTCCAGATTTCTGGTTCTCATTGTTGTAATTTCACATTTTTTCAAGTTTCTTCTATTTTTTAGGTTTAGCTGCAAAGAACGGAAGAATCCTTGTTTATGGAAAACCAGGTACATTTTAAATAATAAAGAAAACAAGAAAGAATCATGAAAATAATTCCTTTTGAACGTAATAACATTATGTTCTTTGAGTAGAGGAGTAGCGGTTTTTGAGAATTATCCCTGAAGCTTGGCTTTTTAGTTTTTTTGCAGGGGTGTTTTTTTTCTTTAGAAAAAAAATAAGATTATTCCCGATATGCAAGTGAGATTTTTAGTTTCTTCTAAGGTCTTATTCGCTGATTTTGCAGGAATAAAAGAAGTTAATGGCAAAAAATATCAAAAGGGTGTAGACTGTAGAACTTGCCTTTTGATATCGATTTTTAATTTTTTTTCAGAGCATTTATTTTTCAAACTCATTTGTTTTTCATAATTTGAAATATCAATACATCCCTGGAATATTCATCTCCGACCCTAAACCACTATAATACTTGACATATTTAATGTTAAGGAGTAGAACTGGAGTTTGATCTAGATGATGAAGCAGGAATCAATAAACTCATTTTTATTCCAGGTACAATCTTTCACTCTTCCAAAGTTAGAACATTTTAAATTAGGATGATAAAGCTTAAGGTCCGCATTATGTTCAAATTGTGCCTTTTTTCAGGGCAAGGACGCCTTATTTGTATTTCAACGGACAACTATATCCATCTAATGGAGATATCGGAGCAAAAACTAACCCTGGTTAAATCCACCCATATGGAGGGAAGGTTGAAAACTGTCTCCGCTCTCTGCCTAGAGTCTGCTAAGAAAAGAGTTCTCCTGGGAACAGAGGGAGGAAATATTTATCTTCTCCGGCTCTGGAACTTAACCCTGGAACAGGAGATCATTTTCCAGGATAAAGTCGTGAAAGATGTTCCAGATTCATTCAAGGTAAATCCTGGAGCTGTAGAATCCATCCTGGAGCATCAGACGGATATGAATCAGGTCCTGATTGGGTTTACCCGAGGACTAGTTGTGCTCTGGGATAAAAGTGAACAGACAGCTCTCAAACATTTTGTTTCCCAGCAGCAACTAGAATCACTTTCATGGATCAGAGACACACAGTTCGTCTCATCACACAATGACGGAAGTTTTATAATTTGGGATTCTGTCTCAGGGTCCCAAGAAGAGCCCCCAAATACCCCGTATGGTCCTTATCCATGTAAATCCATAACTAAGCTGTACGGGAATGGGAAGGGAGAAGATGTTTGGAAGATTTTCTCCGGTGGGATGCCAAGAGCAAGCTACGGAGATAAATTCACAGTTACAGTGATGAAGAACGATGACGATCATGTAGTACTGGATTTAACAAGTAAAATAATTGATTTCCAGGTACTGGAGAACACAGAGGGGCTCCCGGACTCTCTTCTGGTTCTGAGTGAAGAGGAGCTGGTGGCGATAGATCTAAAATCAGCAGGTTGGCCACAGTACGAGGTTCCGTATCTTCACTCCATCCATGCCTCGGCAATAACATGCCTGACACAAGCAACAAATCTCAAGCATTCGGTAGTTGAGGAGATCAGTAAGTACAAAGCTGTGCAGCAGAGTGTTAGTATTAATCCTTGGCCGGTCACAGGAGGCGAGGTTTCCGCTGCAGGAGATTCTTCTCATAATCTTCTTATAACTGGACACGAGGACGGTTCTGTCAGGTTCTGGGGTTTGCATGGAATCACTATGACGCCGTTAGCCACCTTTAAGTCTTCTAAATTCTTTAAAACTGACGATTTTGACGATGACGAGAACAGGATTGATGAGGAGGACGAAGAGGAATGGCCGCCGTTCCGTAAAGTTGGAATGTTTGATCCGTTCAGCGATGATCCACGCCTGGCAGTGAAGAAAGTTGGTTATTGTGCCGAGACAAACCAGCTCATGGTTGGAGGAACAGCTGGTCAGGTTCTAGTCTGTGCTCTCGGAGAAGCCAAGGAAGAATCATTGAAAATTTGCAAGGCAGACATTGTAACGGAAAAAGAGGGATTCACATGGAAAGGTCATCAACCTCTGTTGGCTAAAGGAACCAGTCTAAAGATGGAAGCAGGTTGGCAGCCCAAGGTAGTTCTACAAATAGCTCCTCCTGCTAGTATAACTGCTTTAACCTTTAGTAAGGAGTGGGGTGTACTCGGAGCAGGAACTGCTCATGGTTTTGTTCTTCTGGATTACAACTTCTTTCATGTTATCTCCGCTCGATCAACCCTTAACGCACAGGACATCGCTAACGCCGATGATAACCCCATGTCCCGCCGAAAATCCTTGAAAAAATCGCTCCGTGAATCCTTTCGTAGATTGAGAAAAGGTCGCTCCCAGAGGAACCCGGACAAAAAGAAACCCGTGAGTCAGACCAACGTTATAAGATCGGAGTCTCCTGAGGCCAGACCAGTAGAGCGACAAATTGAAGCTCGAGGTTCGACCAGCGAGGACGGACTCGGTTCGATGGTTCGATGTCTTCACTTTGCCAAAACATATATTGCTACTCCTACTAGTACAAGTCCAACGCTGTGGGCGGGTACAACTTGTGGACAAGTTCTAGTCTTCCTGCTCAATATAACTCCGGAGGATAAGAGGAAGAACGACAAGATCACGGCTGTCCTGGCTAAAGAAATCCAGCTCAAGCATCGAGCTCCTGTCATCGACATTGTAGTTTACGACTCCGGTGGCCTCCCTGTTAAAGGTAAGAAAAATTAATTACAAAAGTTAACTTTATGTTAAACGTTTTTTTACTAAAACATATAAATGTTGAATTCATTTTTATTTTTATTATTATTTTCTAGGTGAGGGTGAGTTTCCTTTGCCGCATAAAGTTCTAATTGCTAGTGAAGAACAGTTCAAAATCTTTCTGCTACCCAATCTGAAACCGAGCGGGAAGTATAAGTTGACCGCACAGGAAGGAGCGAGGGTTCGGAAGATCCGTAGCGTAACCTTTGCAAGCAAAGAAAAACCTAGTCTATCGGAAAACTGTGTCGCGTTCTTAACAAACCTCGGAGAAATTTCCATTCTAGTTTTCCCTGAGCTACGTCGTCAAGTTACAACCAGTGCGATCAAGAAAGAGGACGTGGTTGGAATTTCGAGTCTTGCTTTTTCCGAGTCTGGAGACGGAGTTTATATGAGCAGCAGCTCCGAACTCCAGGTTCTCACTGTAGCAGCTGCCAGGGTTGGGTTCTGCAGCTCCGGGAAAGGACGTGTGGTGGTTCCTCTGCAGAATCGAGCCTCCGAGGATCCAACGGAGACAGATAGACAAGCAGATCTGCAGAATCAGCAGAATGAAAGGGAAGCTGAGCAGAATGGTCCACAAGCCAGAGCATCTCCCAGGTAACACATAAAAAAGTTAATTATGAAGTTTTGGTTAATTTATTGGAACAGGAGAAAAAAGTTTGTTAGTTTGTCCACAATTTACTGTTATATCATATATTACAGTGTTTAACCAGACGTGGATAAATTTATATTTTTTCACGGTCTTTTTTTCCTTCTTTTATTCTTAAACGCTCCGTGCTTTATAGAAAGGGAATTATTACACTTATTGAAGAATATACTCTGCTCAAGGAACTTCACATAAATGATAAAATATTAATCTCAGATGATGATGGAATGATGGAATTCTTAAATTCGATGAAATAATCTGAATATATATATTCAAGTTTCTATATTAATAATGATATAAATTCAGATCTCTGAGCGACGAGAACGGATTAGATTCACACAACGAGACCAACATATCCGAGGCTAGTGGAGACATCACCCTGGACAGTGTCAAGGATCACATGGTCTCCCAGTCCCTGGAGATCAATATCACTGAAACTCCGTCCGGATCCAGGACGGAGAGGATTGAGACTATCTCCAGAACAATGGAGTCTGTGAGTATCAGAACTGAGCACCTTGTTTCACCGGAAATAACGGCTCCGAGCTCATTCAGCATAGGACAAGACGGAGCAGGAGAATCGGCGGCCGAACCATCAGAAAATTGATTCTGCAACTACGACCTTTCAATTGTTTTCCCCTTTCTTATCCAAAAGAAAGACGTATTTAATCAAGAATCAATTTATTAAAATAAAAAAGTGTTGTCTCTGGTTTGTAAATAGATTTTGTGATTTCTGTTGTTTTCAATATTTACTTTTATTAAATTCACTGCACAGTTCATAGTACATTATCAGTACAGCGTACATAGTACGAAACAGAGTCCATTGTACAGTTTCAGGGTACGATTTCAAGTTCATTGTACTGAAAAGTATCTGTTCACGTTCTATCTGAAGGACCAATCGTTTCCAACCTCGTTCAATTTTCAATATTTTAAACTAACCCAAGAGAATCAGTTGAACTATTTTTTCTGTTTAAACACTTTTATTAAACTCTAATTTTTATAATGAACAAAAATAATATCGTCAATATGGTTAAGATAAAAACATGACAAAATAAAAATTTATAAAATAAGCTTTAAAGGACTGTCACCGTATTCTAAAGTGATTCTTCAAGTTCTGCAAAAAAAATGGCCAAGATTTTTGCCATTTCGGTTCTAACACATTAATCAGAGGGGTCTTTTGTAAATCCTACATGGCAATCTGTAAATGATCTGCTACTTAAAATTTTGTTGACATTCTTTTACAAAATATTTGTTTAACACAATGCAGCTGGACGAATTAGTCTGTAATATATAAATGCTTTAATACTAGTTAACTAGAAGCTTCAGTGTATTTATGTCGAGTTTAACACGAAAGATAAAACCAAAATCTTTGGCAAATATCATTCCAATGTTTTGACTTTAAATATTGTATTTTTGTACACCCTAAAATAGTCGTTTAAATATATTAACCTTGGTTTAGGATTAGTATTATTATTGTAGTCAACTTTTATTCAGAAGATTTAAAATGAAAAACAAAAGATCTTTGTTTATTGGACTTATTTTAAAATTTGTGCTCTAGAGCTTAAATTGCTGCTTTGAAAGGGGCAATTAGAAAATGGCTTTGTAGTTTTTAGCATATTGGAAAAATAGTTAAACAGTAGGTCCATTGACAAGCTATTTGAAAACAATTTTCAAGATCTTTTATATAGAGACATAAAATAGCAGTGATTACAGAAATCGTGAAAAAATTAATAATTTCAGAAAAATGATAACTCCGAGGTTTACTTTAACACAGGATGATACTTATCTACATATTACTATCTATGCTCCCTTTACCAATCTAGAGGTAAGTTAGGAACAGTTTTATGGAGCCATGCTGACGAGATTTTATTGGAAAACTTTATTTTAAACTTTGGCCTTCAGAAGTTTAGATCTAGCAAAATTTTTAGGTTGAAAATATCACAGGTCTATTTCAGAAGGTTGCAAAGATAAAAGGATTGAGAATTAGATTTTCCTTAGGTTGAAAATATCATAGGTCTATTTCAGAAGGTTGCAAAGATAAAAGGATTGAGGATTAGATTTTCCTTAGGTTGAAAATATCATAGGTCTATTTCAGAAGGTTGCAAAGATAAAAGGATTGATAATTATATCATATCTGTTCGGTTCCATAGTAGTAAACCTATCGTGTAAGAATTCCCATTATTACACGGTTCAGGAGGAACAATTTTAATATTGTTCGCTTTCTAGCGTTTAAGAATGCTTATTTTTACACAGTAGGTGTAGAATTTTCATTCTTTAACGCTCAGACCGTGTAAGAATGGAAATTATTACACGGTCAGAGCGTGAAAGAATGTATATTCTTACACGGTCAGAGCGTGAAAGAATGCATATTCTTACACGCTCCGAGCATTAAAGAATGGAAATTATTACACTAGTTGCAGAATATTCATTCTTACACGCTCCTTATATTGATTTTTTCAACATAGATCAATATTGAAAATGACTTAATTATTTTGTACTGACAACATGCACAGGGCACACTCACCTTTTTCTTTTATATAAATACATGCAAACTTACCTTTTTATACTTTAAAATAACATGCTCACTTACCTTTTTCTTTAATATTTAAACATGCAAACTTACCTTTTCATGCTCACTTACCTTTTTCGTTTTTTGAAGTTTTGATATACCTTAATTCAATAATATCCATTTAAATCTCAACCCTAATCCTGTGTTTAATTAACATTTTCTGAAATTCTGACCTTTCCAAAAAAAATGGACAATGCTTTAAGCCTTACATTGGACATTTTCATCCAACTGCCGAGTCTCAAAGACTGCCTTCTATTTTGCAAATCTCTGCATCCTTGTAATAGTTCAGTCAGAGCTTTTCAAAAATGGAAAGGTTGTCATGTCTTCAAAATTTCAATCAATTGTTTTTTCATTTTATATTAAAAAGGGTCTCCAAAATTCCAAATTCATTTGTAATTATTAAAAAAATTACAGAATAAAAAGGTCAATTTGTCCCCCACCCCACAGCTAAAACTAGTTTTAAAGTACCTCAGTCTGAGTCAGTCGTCACCATATCTCGCATAGCTCGAGATGATGAAGTGAAACCACAATCAAAACCAAAAATAGTTAATTTTATAAAAACTTATCATTGAAATACTAGTGTCACAAACTTTTATTGGGGTCTTAGCACTCCATAGCAATGCGAACAAACCAGTAAATCTTGCTTCATGAATAAAAGACAAAGATCAGTTTATGTCGAACTGATTAGATAACCTGCTTTTATCTCCTCTTTTTGGAAGATTTAGGATCTAATATCCAGGAAATGATTTCTTCTATAAATGAAAGCACGATTTTGTTCAGTAAATTCAGACAACCTACTACTATACCTTCTCTCCATCTAAAAAAAACTCATGGCAAATTCAACATGCTGTGTCTAAGTGTAGTATCAACTTGAAAAAACAAGCAAAATCATAAGAAATTAATAAACAAACAAACTAAACTAAGGAAACAATCGCACCACATGCATTACTTTCAAATTAAGAACCAATTTTTACTTAAGAAATTTGAAATAGTCGGATTTCACCAGAAATATCTTTTACTATAATTTCTTGGGTATGTGCCCATGGAACCTCACAAATATGATATAATAATAATCTTATGAGGATAAAAATGTAATAATGGAATTTTTAAACTCGATGAACTAATCTTGATGCATTCTTTAACTCAGGCCTGCGGCCTTCGTTAAAGAATACATCAAGATTAGTTCATCTCGTTTAAGAATTTCCATTATTACATTTTTTCCTCATAAGATTATCATATTAGATTTTCTTCGACGCTATTTTTTTACTAAAAAATTCATTACTATATAACCTCTGTTTTCAAAGTTGAAGGGTATTTTTTAACTATATATTTTATATTTAGAACACGGATATATTTATGGAGGGAACGGACTTTAGATTTTTCTCCAAACCGTATTATCTCAGGAAACCTTATCAATCCTTCAAAACATTTTCTATAGAACTATTTCAACTTTTAAATGGGGGTGCTTTCTGAAGTTTAAGGATGCTCTGTAATTCTGAGCATCCTTAACCCTTCCCGGGGGTTAATTGTGTTGCCTCAAAATTTCTGAGTCCGATCTGTTGAGCTGTTTTGACGTTTATTGAATACAAACAAACATACAAGCAAAGTATATATAGATTTATTTTAATAAAAATAGATCTTGGTAGAACTTTCTTCCTTGATGTCAGGATTGATTAAGTTAAACCATAGATTACATTTACCCGGAGAAATAGAGGAGTCGGAGTCGGCAGGGGGAGAGTATCAGGCCGATATTGCCAGTTTTGTCCTCAGATGCCCGAAGAAAAATCCGGGAGAAAATTTCGAGGGATTGGAAATGATAACGAAACTTCTCACTCCGTCCGGAGACACGCAGGTTCGCGCTAATATCGAGGAGCTGGACGCGGAGAACGAGGAAGATGCGGAGGAAGAGGAGATAGATTTCTTCTATGAGCAGAGTATGCCGGAGCAGGAGCAAACCATGAATATCACGGAATCCACGTCAGAGTTCGGATACGGATTCAATTTTGCCAAAACTGGAGTTTTTAAAAACCTTCTGGATGAGTTCGAACAGCTTCTAGACGTAAAAAATCCTGATTCTAAACCTTTAAGGTGAGAATTTGAGAGGTTGTGAAGTCGAAGTTTTAAATAAGATTTTTAGCAAAGGCTCTAAATGTTTTTATGAAGATATCTTTTTAATTCAGGGTAAGACGCGAAGAAAGAGAGAAAACGGAAACTGAAAGTTTTGATGCAGATCATTATCTTTGCGATCTTTATGAAACAGAGGAGATCAATTCTATTCTCAGGTGTATAAGATTCAGGGTTTAATTTTAACCAATTTTTGAAACCCTGAAGCGGTCCAGTTGTGAGCCTTAAAGAGCCAGGAGCTGCCGACCATATCAGTGTTGAATGGGATGTAGGGTTCCATCTAGTCCTGTCCTAGTAACTATCTACTTTTAGTAATAGTTAATAATTAATTAATTATGTATGGTCTAAACTATTCCTCTAAATATGTACAGGGTGGTCAAAATGTACGGATTGTACGGATTGTTTTTTTAACCCTAAAATTGTACGGATTGTACGGATTGTACGGATTTGTTTTCAAATTGTACGGATTGTACGGATTTTTATCCTGGAAAATACACCGTTTTTTTTAAATTTTCACTCATTTCAGCAAATTTTTCATGAAAATAAAAAAAAAATCTCGTCAAAATGAAGTTAGTTTAACTTATTTTCTGCATTCTAAATAATATTAGATTGATTAATGTTTCAATTGACAATCAAAATTCATTCATAATTTTCGAGATATGTCCAAGAAGTGTTTATTTGAGAATATGTTCCATAAGTACTTATTTGATTGCTTATTCAAGAAGATGTTCCAGTATCCTGTACC